ATAGACCTGTATTTGTTTTACACATATTTGTGGTTTTATGTCCTTTTGGACACAAAGTTGACCACTTTGTGATGAAATAGGCCTGATAATATCACTTATTCCCTTCTTTTGGATGGTGTTTGGATGTTACACCTTCCTTTGCTTTTATACTATGTGTTTAAGCTACATCTTATATTTAAACTGCAGCACTTAGAGTTCAATCTTTTTAGTACAATCTGGCAATTTTCACCTTACAACTGTTGTGTATAATCATTCATACCTAATAGAATTGATTTCATGTGGCTGGATTAATGTAAGCATTTTTAGCTGATGTTTTATTGTTTGTTTTTTCTTTTTCTTATGTATTTTTTTGGGGGGGTGAGGTAATTCTTGAATGAAGTTGGCAGTTATGATTCCCTTTTGTTGATCATTTACACATCTTTAAAATATTTAGTTATCATTCTGAGGTCACACACCATTTTTACATGTTAACAGAACCTTACAATGATGGATGCAGTGCCAGTTCTCGCCTTCCACTCTTGTGAGATCAGTTTCATTTTTTCATATAAACACACATTGTCGATATTTTTGCCCATTTGCCATTTAGAACAATGTAAAAAATGAGACAAGACTGCTTTACCTTGAGTTAGTCTAATTCAACCATGTTTATTCTCAATCATGTTCATTACCTTGTGTGGAATCAGTGTGTGTGTGCATGTGTGGTACTGGGGACTGAACTCAGGGCCTTGTGTCTGCTATGTAAGCACTATACCACTGTGCCACAACCCCAGCTCTAAGGAACCAGGTTTCTGACAGGAGCCATATTCCCCATGAAGAGTTTCTAACATTTCTCACAGAGGAGGCAAAGTTCCCCTTTTATATCTTTGCCAGGTTGCTGCTTCTGCAATGACAGCCTTTTCTTTGCGAGAAAAAGGGCATTTCACCACCTTCTTGCTCACTGGGCGTCGGGCAAGAGACCCTCTGCATTCTTGGCACTCTGTCCCTGTTGGTTAGATCTCTTAGAGGTCTGAGTATGACACATTTGGGCATGGTTCCGTTTGTGTGCTTGATGTTCTCAGAGCTCTCTGGACCTGTTTTTGTTTTTTTTTTTTTTTTTTTTTTTTGGTACTGGGGATTGAACTCACAACCTAGCACTTGCCAGGCAGGTGCTTATGCTGCTGAGCTAAATCCCCAGCCCCTGGACCTGTTTATGAGCTCACCATGAATTGTGGACAAACTTTTCTGCAATGGCTCCTTTTCCTCAATTATACATGTGCTAGACCACTGACATTGCCTCTCAGTTTAGGGATGCTCCGTGGTGCTTCCTACTTGCCTTGTTCTCTTTATATGTCAGTTTGGGTGAGTTCTGCCCTTGAACATTTACTGCTAGCAATGGACCCAGTATAGTGGGGCTGAGATGCTGCAAAGTTTAAGAGGTACAAGATCACTGGGTCATGGAGCCTACACCTCATGACTGACTTAGTGACACCTCTCTAGAACGGAGGGAACATCGTCCCATGAGAACTGGATCTTGTAATTAGAATGGAGCGGTTAAAACGCCACCCTATGCTGTGGACCCTTCTGCACATGGCTGTTGTCCTTTCCTCTTCGCCATACTGGGATGCAGCAGGGGCTGTTGAACATTCCAGCCACCAGAGTCATGAGCCAAATAAATCCTTTTGCTTTATAAAGCACCCACATCGGTCATTTTGCTTTAGCAGCACAAAATTATCTAAGCCACTGTGGTAAGTACTTTGATTGAGGGAGCACAGCCATTTACCAAGTTATTAATATAGGTATTTGTATCATCTCAGATTGATCTGGTATATTTGTTGTTGCTGGTTATCCTCTGTACACAAGAGACTCCAGACTTGTAATGCCCTGAACTAGAAATGAGGGCTGCTTTGCTAGTTCTGTCTTTCCTTGGTATTCCTTCCTGAGAGAGTCAGCCTTGTGCACCAGTTTCAATTGTATTCCACTTGTTTTCACTTGACATTTGTTAGCCTGGTGACAGGAGACAGAACCAGAAACCCTCCCTGCTTCTGGTCAGACTGTTTTCTCAGGCAGGCAGAGCAATGTGAACTTCCCAGTGCTCCCATTTGAGGAGCTCCTACTTTAAGAAACTTCAGGATTTGGATCTAGCATGTATTCCTGCTTCTTTGCCTTTGAGAGATGGTCTTGCTAAGGCCCCCACGATGTCCTTGAACTCATAGCAGTCCTCCTGCATCAGCCTAAAAGTGCTGGGATTACAGCACTTTTAGGTGTGTGTGCCACTATGCCCAGGCTTCCATTTTTTTTCTTTTCCACAGTGGAAATGCTTTTTTGTTGGGATGTTTGTGATACATGACAAATATATTAACAGTAGAGAGTTGGTAAACATATTGCATCTTAATTCTTTTTACTTTCTTTTCTCTTCTATTCCTAGAATTCCCTCTACCCACAAACCTCCATTTTCTATAATCTATCCATTATGCTTTAGATTCGGAATGTTGTAAAGCCTCGTATGTCCAGAGGTGAGGTTTTGAAAGGTTACTGAATCATGGGTCACTGCCCTAAGGTCTGTTTTTGTTGCTTTCCTCTCCCTACAGATTCAGGATTTTTTCCACAGGGAAAAATATAGGAGATGTGTGTGGATGGAATTCCTCTAGTAGCAACTTTTCTGTCAGTTCCACTGTGCAGGACCTTCTCATGATTCTCCTAGGGTACTTGGTATAGGTCCCTAGTTCTTAAGAATCCTTAACCACCATCTTTTAAATGGTTTCATGTTTCAATTTACCTACATGTTTTCTATTCTCTCTTTCTGGAACTCCCAATTAGGCATGTTGTCCTACTTCATTTGGGCTGCTATGACAAAACCCCGTTCTGTGTGGCTTATACTCAGTGGAAACTTGTTTCTGACAGCTCTGGATGTTAGAAGTTGGAGAAGGAGCCAGGAGGTTTGGCAGCTCAGGTGTGAGATGCGGGTAGGGATCTTCCCTGGCTTAGAAGATTCTAACTGATGGGAACCAGGACTTTACCTGGTCATGCCCAGGTCTGCCTGTTAAGATCCCCACATTCAGCTAGGAGCAACTTACTTAGGCAGGTGAGAACACAGTCCTGTCCAGCGGTAGTGCTCCAGCAGTCAGAGCTAGTGCGTGCCACAGCGATGCCCGGCACACCACAGATGGCATTCCACCATCATAGGTTTCTAGAGCAAGTTAGGAAGTTAACCCAAAGTGAAATTTGTCTGAAGATAACAAAATGGGGGTCACTGAACTTTTGCTTTGAGTAATTTAAACAGCTCTTCAAATATTGGGTTTCCTGCCTACGTGTTTTTACAATGGGTATTTAAGCAAAGTTTAGACTACTGTCTTACAGAAATTTGATGTTGGACATCAGTAACTCAAATTTCCTCAGGTATAATTACATGGTTATAAACTATCTGTGGGGTTGTTTCCTATGATTTTTTTGAGGCATCCTTAATATTACCATTGAAACACAACTGAGTTATGCTTTCTATTCTCCATGGTTCAAAAAATAACGAAAGGCCACAAGGAGCTCACATCATTTAAATGTAGCTGTGTTAATGAGCTTTCTCACAGAGACTGAACTGTTCAACAAGGTTGTCTACAGAATTTTTTCTTACTGAGCAGTGGTTTCAAGAGGTGGAATTAGAAGAAACTTGTTTTAATAAGTTTGTTTTTATTTCCAAGTGACTACTGACATTAATTATCCAGAAATGGTTTATTTCCCCCAATATTTTATGATAAAAAATTTAAACCATACACAGTTGAGTTACATGTAATTACCAGTGCCTGTTTTCCCAGCACCCCGAAGGCTGAGGCAGGATTGCTGAGAGTTTGAGGACAGCCCGGGCTACAAAGTGGGTTCAAGGCTGGCCTGAACCGCAAAAGGGAGACTTTGTGTCAAAAAAACCCCCCAAAAAAACAACAACAAAAAAACAAACCCAAAACCATGGGGCCGGGGATTTAGCTCAGCGGCATAAGCGATGGCCTGGAGTGACTTCGGACCTCGGTATCAAAAACAACAACAAGCAAAAACAACATCAAAAAAAAAAAAAAAAAAAAAACAAAACAAAACAGAAGAAACCCAAAAGGCCGATTACGGTCTCCCCTGCGTGCGCGCTTCCGCCCATGACCGGGTCGGGCGCCCACGTTGTTTGGGCCCCATCATCAAATCATCGAGCCCTGCAGCTCCCGCCTCTCCGGTCGCCCATCTGGACACTTCTGTCTCGGCGTCCTTCGGTGCACAAACCTTATCAAGTCCCCTGTGGCCTTAAACTCTCCCTCCGCTTCGTCTCGCGCGGCCCCTGGACCACCTTCCCGGGAGCAGCCGCGCACGCACAGCCCAGGATCGCAAGGCCCAGGGCACTCGCACGGGGCCTTTCCAGCTGGCACGCCGTCTCTTCCTCACGCCTAAAAATCACCGTTCCTGGCCGGCGCAGACCACAACCCGCAGGTCAGACGGCGCCCGTTATCGCCTGCGCCCGCATCCCGTCCACTCCCTAAAGCTGGCCGCCGTAAAGCGTCGCTGTGCCCTCTGCTGTAAAGCGCTTCACGACAGCGCCACCTCGGCCTACTGACCACAGCTGCCTGGGACCCCGGTTTAAACCTTCGGGCTTCTGGACCTCACCGAGCCTGCAATCGCGCGCTACAGCTTTGCTTTCTCCGCGTGCGACTTCTGGCTCTCGAGTCCACCCGAGCCGCCGCCGCCTCGCGCCCCGCGCCCCCCCTTCCCGGAGCCAACCCGCCCTTCCTCCCGGCATGCACCACGGCGCAGCCATGTTGCGGTAGTGTTGTTTTCGTCCTGCGGAGGCGACGGGCTGCTGTGAACCGAGACGCGCCCGTCTCGCCTCGGCTCCTCTCGCCGGCGCGGGCCCGCGGCCGCTTTTTAGCCGCCGCGGTCTCCCCAGCTCCTCCGCCCGCCGGCCGGCGTGGGGGCGCGGCAGACGCCGAGCCCAGCAGCACCATGGCGGCCGCCCTGGGCGCGGGCGGCGGAGCGGGCGGCGGAGGTACGTGGGGCCCGGCCTTTGTGTGGGCCTGGGCCGCGCCCGCGAGCGTAGGGGCCCTGCCGAGCGTTGGGCCCGGGCCGGTCGGCCGAGCAAGCGTCACGCAGTCGCGGAGGCCAGGGACGTGCAGCCCGCGACCGGATGGACGGCCTGGCGAAGGAGTGTCGCGTTACCTCCCAAAGACCCTGTAGCCCATGCCTGCGTCCTCACGGAAAACGCGTACACGTTGGGCTTAGCGGCTTAGCGGAGAGCGCGGGGCGGAGAGGCCGAGTGTGGGTTGGCTCTCAGGTGTTGTCGCTCTTGTGGGCAGCGTACAAAATAGGGAAGGAGCGCCCATTAATTAGCTAATCAGCTTTTAGTCAAGTCACAGATTGCTGATGGAGGATTTTGTTGTTGTTGTTTAACGTGGAAAGATAAACCTTTCACTGGCTATTTTGGAAATTTCGAAAGGGGAGGTCTCCTTAGGGAGCAAGTATCGGAGCGGAAGCTTTTGCCGCGAGTTCTCGCCATTGAAACTTAAAGCCACAGTGCAGTGTCCTCCCGGTGTTCTCCAGGGGTGACTCTAGGTGGGCACGTCGCAGTCCTCTTGCTCGGGAATGGTGACCCAAGCACCAAAACGTTTGTATGACAGATTGGAAAGATACAAGCACAGGGACTAAAGTCTGGAGTGGTATTTATTGGTTTATGTTACTTTTTCTGTCCGTTTATATATTTTATGTACTGGATTTCAAGGCTTTCTGGTTAAATGTTTTAAATAGGTGATTTACCTACCTTGGTTATTTTTTCTTGGGGGGGGGCGAACATTGTTCAGCATTGTCTTACGATTATCAACTTCGCCCAGAAACTCCTCTAAATTAGTGCCTTGGCACGCCACACCTCCCCCTCCGGTGTGTAGAACCTAGGACTTTTATTCTACTGACCCCATCCCTTTTTTTATTTTGACTCAAGGTTACCGATTAAGTTGTCCAGGCTGGGCTCAAACTTGCGATCCTCCTGTCTCAGCCTCCCAGAGTGCTAGGATGATGTGTGCCTCCGCTCCTGGTTTCATAAGCTTTTTAAATTAAAAAAACCTAGAAAGTTACTTGTATGTTTCACTCTACATGCACTGTGTACGTGGAGTTTTTCTGACGTTATAATTCATGTGAAAACATAATTGTACTGATGGTTAATGGGATGTGTTTATAGGCCTTAAGTGTGTGTTCAATAAACATATAATAAGTAAATGAATTAAGAATGAAATGTTTTTTTAATGATTGTGAAAAAACAATTGTTTTTTAAGTTGTCATTCCATATTATTTGCCTGTATAGCCGCTTGAATCATTAAATTAGAAATATATAGTTTGGTAGTAGCTCATTTATATTAACAGATTGCCTGACACCCTAGTTTAGGCACTTATCAGTGGCTTTCAAGCTTTTTTTTTTTAATTGTAATTCACAATATGACTGGCATTAAGGCTTAGTACTTTCTCTTTTTTAATGTGGTACTGGGGGCTGAACCCAGGGCCTTGTACTCTACCTCTGAGCTGCATCTCCAGCCCTTAAAAGAAAAAATTTCATGGCCAACAGTAGTGCATACTCTGCCATGCATTGTTTTCTGTTTACATTAAAATACTGGTTGTAACCTAAATTACACAGCCCGCTAAGTGTTAAGGATTGTCAGTTTGAAAATCACTGGGTCTTCTGTGTAGGAAGTGGTTAATGTTTACTGATAAATTAATTCTAATGATTGAGAATATAGTGGGAAAGTAATAAGATCTGCAGGTAGCCAAAATTGATGTCACAAAGTGCAGGTACATAGGAGTGTGTTCTTAGTCTCTTACTGGAAAGATGCTTACTCTTGACTTCACATACAGTTCAAGTTATTTGCTGTTGCAACCAAATAATATGATTAAGGTAATGGCACTGCTGGTCTTAGTAAAAAATAGCATCTCACGTATTGCTGAGTGAAACAAAGGCTTATATACAAAAACATGGCATTTGGGGGATGTTATGAACAAACAGTTGTAAGTTTCAAGGTCCAACACTTTCTTGTTTTTTTTTTTTTTTTTTTTTTGGTACCTGGAGATTGAACCCCCAACCTCATGCTTGCCAGGCAGGCATTTATGACACTGAGCTAAACCCCCCCGCCCATTTTCTTGTATTGTGAAACAAAGTAAAAAGAATTTAAAAAAACCTCTTATCTAAGTGCTTTATCTCACAATTTACAACAATATTTTTGGGCCTTTTAGATAAGGAAAACAATGCTGAAAGTTTTTTGTTTCCTAGGTCAATCCTATGAAGGAAAACTTATGTTAGTTTTTAAATACACTTAGTAGTAGAAAGAACATTCTACTACTTCAACATTTATCTGCATTTTGGCACTCTACTTCGATTTACTAGGAGTTTATGGCCTTTGTAAGTTGAAAATGCATTTACCTAACATATGAAACACTTTAGCCTAGACACCTTAAATTTGGTCAGAGGGAGGAGGTGGACATATGTTAAACTGCATTATTGCTAGTGTGGGAGAAAAAAAATCCAGAATTTGTGTATTGTTTCTCCTGAAATGAATACTTCTTTTGCACAGTTACAAATTGCAAGTTGAGTTTTATAGGTTGGTACCATGTGTCCCGGTCCACACCTCTACTTTTGAATTTTTTTTTTTTTTTGTGGTACTGGGGATTGAACTCACAACTTCGCGCTTAGCCAGGCAGGCGCTTATGCCGCTGAGCTAAATCCCCGGCTGACTTTGAATATTTTTTTAAAAATCCCAGGCTTATGAAAATTTAGAGCAAGAGTAAACTGTAGGGATCAGTTGAGTCTAAATATTAAACCAGTTGTCTTACTGTTGAAAGGAAGTTAGGTCAAAGTTTAGTGATGTTAAAATGGGAAGTAGACCAAGAATTTAGGGCTTTAGGCTTATAGTTGTGTTTTCCACAGTGTCAGATTTAATGTTAATAATGTAATAACCAAGGAAATCTTTGTTCTGCTGAAATTAAGCAAACATTAAGCACTTTAGATAAAAGTTACTGGGTGGGAGGGGAGATTTGGGATATTTAAATCCCTAATGACAGTGAAAAATGAGATGTTTTTATACTGATAGTTGTGTATGGCAGCTGCTTCTTTTTTTGGGGCGGGGTACTGGGAATCAAACTCAGAATCTTGTTTCCTGCTGAGTACTTGATACTTTATTTTCCTTCAAGAAAATCTGTCACACTTAATTTCCTAATTTTATCAGGAGAATTTACAGAGTAGAAGAAAGAGTAGCCTTGCTTGAAATTCAGCCAGAACTTGGTTTAGCATTTGTTGAAGGGCAGATCTACTAGTGACATACTTTTTTCAGATCTTGCTTGTTTAGGAATAAAATTTTTGAAGTACAGTCAGATACACTGTCAGACAGACTTCTTGTTGACAGTTTATTTTTCAGTACTTTTTGAAGTATTTCCTTCTGCTACTTTCTGGCCTTCATGGTTCTGATGAGTTGCTGACTGAATCTTACTGAGGATCAGTTTTATGTGGCAAATCACTTCTCTCTTTTGTGTTTTCACAATTCTTTGTGGCTCTGCTTTTTGACAATGTGGTTATACAGTTTGTTGGGATGACTCTGCTGAGTTTATCCTTGAAGTTAGTCAGCTTTCTTGGGTGTGTAGATTTCTGTCTTTCATCATCTTTGGAAGGTTGTGGCCATTAGTTTTTCAGATCTTTATTCCTCTAATTTATCTTCTGTGGCATTTGTATGTGTAATGTTGGGGCTCTTGATAAGCTGACTCATCGGGGAACCAAGAGCCAAGTCATAATAAGCAGTGTTCTATTTTTTTTATTCTGAGTCAGGGTCTTGCTGTGTCAGTAATTCGCCAAGGGTGGGTTTGACTTGCAGTCTTCTTTCTTCGGCCTCTCAAGTGTGCTGGGATTATAGGCATTCTCCACCATACTTGGTTGGCTTTAGGGGTTTTTTAAATTTTTGTTAGTCTAGATGAAAAAATAGCTTCAGTGTTTTAATTCTTTTTTCCTGGTTTCTAGTGAACTTCAACATCCTTTTTTGCATTACTTCTATTTTTTCCTATTAATTGCCTATATACACTTTGTCAATTAAAAATAGAACTGGATAGTGTCTTTTTTTTTTTGAGACAGTGTCTTGCTATCCAATTCAGACGGGCCTTGCGTTCACTGTGTAGCCTAAGCTGGCTATAGACTGTGTCAGCCTCCTGAGGCCTTTCTCTTTTTCACTCTTTTCTTTTTTTTTTTTTTTTTTTTTAAGACAGGATCTCCCTGTGCAATTTAGGCTGGCCTTGAATTTACTGTGATGCTCCTGCTTCAGCCTCAGAAGTGCTGGGATTACAGATGTGGTCTTTCTCATGTTTAGGAAGTCTTTGTATATTATGTTACACTTACTAGTCTGTTTTCTTGTGCTTTCCCTGGGACCTTGTTTAAACTTTCAGTGTATGGAAGTTTTAAGATAGTTATGACATGTATCAAGGTGTTTATCAGTTTTGTTAGGTATAGGCTATATCAGTTTGTCAGTGTTTTTAATAGTTCATACTTGGATCTTTTATTTTTATTTTTTGTGGTATTGGAGATTGAATATAGGGCCTTCCCTCAGGCCTCTTCCTTTTCTTTTTCCTTTTTTAAGTCTTAGGGTTTCACTGAGTTGCTGTTACCCAGACTAGGTTTGAGTTTTTGCCTTAACCATTACCCACTCCTGCCAGAATTACTGCTGTGTACTGCCACAGCCAATTTTTATGGTTAGTTTTTAACCCACACAGATTTTTTTTTTTCTGGTATGAATTTCGGTTTTCTGTAGTTCTGTGATTTATTTGATTTACTGTCTTTTTCTGTCTTTCTAACATAATGGATTCTCATTTATAATTTTTTAAATTATTGCTTCCTCTTGTGTGTGTCTATGTATAACGTGCTGTTTTTCAGACATTTTTTGGTTAGCCTAGTATACTTTTTAAAAGGAAATAAAGAATTTCCAATCAGAATCCTCCAAAGAATTGTACTGAATTTTTATTGTGATTGCATTAACTCTGTTAACATAATTTGGGGGAGGTTGATATTTTTACAGTGCGAATTCTTTCATCGGGCAACAACAAGGATGTCTCTGGATCAGGCTTTCTTTTTTTTAGCTGTTTGCTGAATGCTTACTCTGTGCAGAGTGCTGATGTAAGGTTAGGGTGTGTTAGTGAACAAGCCAGACAAAGGCAGAACTAACATCAGTAAAATTTACCTTAAGTAGTTTTTTTCACGTTTCTTACTCATTTCCAGTGTTTTATGATACTGTCATTGTAAATGGTATAGCTTGTTTTTTTTTTTTTTTAAATCTCGCTACATTCTCAAATTTGTAGAAAGGCTTTCTCCCTTTTTGGTAATTGATTTATATGTATTATTGGAATTTTGTTTTACTAGTTTGGCAGTTAGGATTTTCTAGTTCTATTTGTAATCTTTTTACTCCAATATTTATGTCTCTTATTCTTGTATTCTAGGGTTGTACATTGTGAAGCCTTCTGTGATCATATTGAACTTAATGGGTGGTATAATAGACATTTTGGTCTAGTAATGTTTAAGGAATGTTCTTTTTGTGTTTCACTGGAGTTTTTAGCAAATGGTTTCACTGTTTTTATTAAGATGACCTTGTGGTCTCCCTGTTTGAATCTCTGAATATAATATGTTGATAGATTACCAGAATGAACC